TACCTCAAGTATTTAAGCATTGGCTAGATGCCCACTAGTTTATAGATGATATTTAAACATCAGAATGAGAGATGTTTCTTAATTTCTCAGTTAAGGTAGATGATTATTACACTTCTCAGTCTCATGAGGAACATAATTATTCTAGGCAATAATTGCAACTACAAATCCTGTTGAATAGCCAGCTGATGTTTATTTTGACTTAAAACTGTGTTAAAAAATATATTTGCATTCCCTAAGGTTAACTCTGATAACAAAGTTTGCTGCAACTTTGATGCAGATTACAATGATGATATTAATGTTAAAACAACAGGTTGAGGGGAATAATGAGGAGCATCTAAACTTAGGCTCTTACTGACATCTATGCAGCAAGTGCTCATCTCATGTTCTATGACTATCAAAAAGCAACTCTAAGAATGAGAAGGATGTTTCGACTCCAGTTAGATACTCAGTGGTATCAGTTAAAAACCTACGTCAATGAGACCAATGAGATAGTTCACAGTAGATTGTCTATAGGCACAGCAATGTGCCTTTACAAAGTCAAGAAACATTAGCCAGTAACACAGAGACGACATCACAGAAGAAAGGATAAGACTGAAAAATCCAGTATGGTATCTGAGGAAGGATAGACAAAAGAGAATAAAATGCAAAAACTTGATCATAATTATATGACGAATGGTTTCTAAAAGCATGACATTACATTATGATGGGGGAGAAAAGGTAGTTTCTGTCACTGAAAATGGGTTGACTATCCACAAGTCCATATTGAAAAAAAGATTGAATTTTGACACTTATTTACATTTTCCACCCAAAATTAATTACAATGGGTTACAGAGCTTCTAGAATCATACAGAATTTTTATATAATCTCAGGGAAGGCAAAATTTTCTTAAACAGGATACAAAAAAACTCTAACAATAAAGCATTGCTAAATTGGATTCAATTAAAATTAAGAAGCTTTGTTTATCAAAAGATATTGTGGCGAAAGCTCTACTGAAAAAAAGAGAAGGAAATGGAGGCATCACACTCCCAGACTTCAAACTATACTACAAAGCCATAATCATCAAAACTGCATGGTATTGGAACAAGAACAGACATACAGAGCAATGGAATCGAATAGAAAATCCAGAAATAAACCCACAGATTTATGGTCAACTAATCTTTGACAAAGGAGCAAAGACTATGCATTGGAGCAAAGAAAGTTTGTTCAATAAATGGTGAAGGAAAACTGGGTCGCTACATGCAAAAGAATGAAGCTTGACCACTACCTCACACCATACACAAAAATCAACTCAAAATGGATTAAAGAACTAGACATAAGACCTGAAGCCATAAAATACATAGAAGGAAATATAGGCGAAACACTACAGGATTTGCACATCAAAGACATCTTTACAGACACATCACCCAAAGCAGTGATAGTGAAGGCAAAGATAAACAGCTGGGACTACATCAAATTAAAGAGCTTCTGCACAGCAAAAGAGACAATAACCAAAACAAAGAGAAACCCCACCAACTGGGAGAACATTTTTGCACCCAACACTAATGATAAAGGACTGATCACAAAAATCTGCAAAGAGCTGATGAGACTCAACAACAACAAAGAAAATAATCCAGTCAAAAAATGGGCAGAAGAGCTAAAAAGAAACTTCTCTGAAGAGGAAATGCAAATGGCCAACAGGCATATGAAAAAATGTTCAACATCACTTGTAATCAGGGAAATGCAAATCAAAACTACCATGAGATACCATCTCACACCAGTGAGAATGGCACATATTAAAAAAACTAGCAACAACAAATGTTGGCGAGGGTGTGGAGAAAAAGGAACTCTTCTGCACTGTTGGTGGGAGTGCAAACTGGTCCAACCACTATGGAGAGCTGTGTGGAGATTTCTGGACCTACTAAACATAGAGCTTCCATATGATCCAGCAATTCCACTCCTAGGTATTTACCCAAAGGACACAGAAACATCAATTCCAAAGAACACCTGCACCCCTATGTTTATAGCAGCACTGTTTACAATAGCTAAGCTTTGGAAACAACCCAAATGCCCAAAAATAGATGACTGGATCAAGAAGATGTGGTACATATATACCATGGAATATTACTCAGCATTCAAAAAAGATAAACACATGCAATTTGCAGCAACATGGATGGCGCTGGAAGGGATCATGCTCAGTGAAATAAGCCAAAAAGAAAAAGAAAAATACCGGATGGTCTCACTCATAGCAGGAATCTAGAAAACTTAAATAAGGGACCAGGAAAATGAATATAAGAAAGTGAAAATCAAAATCAACAAAAAACTATGAACCAGAGACACTTTTTGGGGGGTGGGGGGCGGGAAGGGAAGGATTGGGGTCAGAATGGGGCTTTTGCAATTGTATGGGGGAATATAAAAATAAAATTTATTATTAAAAAAAAAAGATATTGTGGCGAGTAAAAATGTGAACCACTCAGCAGGAGAAACTTATAATACATGTCTAAGGAAACCAAAGCCAGCAGAGTAAAGAGACCTTGCAAAACATCAGATTGTCAATGGCAATATTAAATTTGGAACCCAGACCTCCTAAAGCTTAAGTCAGTGCCCTAAACATGATATTAAGTTCAAATAATTGTTTCAAAGTGAAAAGTGGTAGAACATAAGTGCATCAGGGAAAACAAGAATTCTGTTATCAGCCATTATATAGGTATATACCACACATGTTTATGTACATGTATCTATATCTATATCTCTCTCTCTATATATATATATATATACTTATAGGTGCATGTATATCTCTTTGTGTATAGATACCACCTATATCTCATAAATATGTCAGTATTTGATCTCTGGGGCCAGAAATATAACATCTGATATCTCTGCATCACAGTTTACTTATTTGCAAAATGGGAATAATAATGCAGTAGGGATTAAAAATGCTGGAAATAAAGTTCCACTGTGTCTGGCATAGAAGTTTTTGAAAAATTTCATCAGTGTCAGTGAAAATGATGATGATTATGATGTAATTAATATAATTGTTACTGAGTGATAGCTTTACAAATTGCCAAGAGATAAAACAGGAAGCAGGGAATCATTACTAATTTAATCAAGCATCACGGCTGCTTTAGCCAAACATTAGAAAATGGATGCAATCAAAAATCAAAACCATTGGGCAATGAGGAAAAAATAAGAGATCATTTAAGAAAAATCGTGAAATTTCATGAAAAATGCCACTGAAGAGTTAAGATAAGTCAAAGTTGTCAGGTTAAATATATTAGGTACAGTATCTCTAGTTTCTGTTATTTTTCTTACTAGACAAACTTTGGATATTGGATGTGAAAATCAACAGGTGCCCAATCAACATTCCCATTGCAGCAACTATTATTTGCACCTAGAGAACATTTCTCTTAAGTTTTGTCATCATCAGGTGAATAATTAGTCCTTGAAACAGAGGGTAATAGCTCATAAGATGTTTGCTTGCGTCCAGATGATACACATGCATAGATATGTACCAGAGGAGTAAGGAGAGAGTTTACTCAAGATTAGGCCATGTAAACATATTACATGTGACTGAGAGTCCAAGACAGTAGCAGAGCTTTTTCTGCCAATGCTCATCCCATCCCGCAGGGTAAACATTTCTTCTGCCATGATATGGATCATATGAAGCTTAAATATATTGTCCATTACAACAATCCATGGAAGGAAGGGTGTTTTTATTACCAGCTAACAATTACTATTCCAGTGGAAATGGAAGATATCTGCACAATATTAGCTGACTTTTGTAGGTTTATTTTCACACCAAATTAATATATGGTGACACATTTTTGGAGATGAGGAAAATGATTTACCCACAATCACAGCACAATTGAAATGACAGTTGTGCAACAAGGCCAGGGCTGTCTCTTCCCTTCCTCTTCAACTTGCTGCCTCCAAAAAGGCATTTCCCATCATGATTTCAGAGTCAGTTTCTAAGTAGGATTATGTCCTAGTTTATAGTTACTTAAAAAAACAAAATTATGTAAGATCCTGGTGCTCTCACTGAGTTAAATGTTTCTCAAAGTGCAAGTCAGAATGGTATATGATGAGATAGAATAGAATAAAAAGTACCAAGAATCATCACATATGATAGTTACATTTTGTTTCTTAACAATTTTGTCTGCACATGTATACACATACAAGAGACTGTAACATAAAATTTGTTACTTTGAGCTCACAGTCAAATGTTTACAAGTCAGTGTTGAGCGAAAAGAGCTCAGGCTTAGTTGGAAACAGGTTAAATCTCAACGTTATTGTTGCTGGCATTATTACCCAAAGAATTCTTGTGGCAAGATCCCAGCCAATTTCCTCCTCCTTGGGCTGCTTGCAAAACCAGACAAATTCCTTTTCTCAAGTACAACATAACACTGTTGAAACCATTTATATACGTGACTACTTACCGCAGCTTCCACTTAGGCTTCAAACGCCACCCTTCTAGCGTCGTTCTTCACCCCTGCCCTGATCTTGAGCTTGGTGAGGCCACCAGTGCAGGCCAATTAGTCCCGTGGCCGTCTTTCCAGGGCATACAGCCGCGAATCCTGCACACTTGCCCACACTCCATATAACTCCTTTTCCTGGGTTTCGTGACGGTACATTTCCCTCCATTTCTTCAGGCCTCCTCCATCGTCAGATCATTTTCATGCTCTTTATTGCAGCCTCCTCCTCTAACCGCAGTGTCAATGTTGGAGCTCCTGACACTGCGGTCTCTGGCTCTGTCCTGGGTCCTACATGAGTCTCACTTCACACCTCCTTGATTACCCTCGACCCTTCTTCCCATAAGCACATTAGGACGATACAGTATACAGCAACCACCATTCAAACGTCCACATCAATGACGACTTTTGGGAAACCACTGGCCCCAGGGTGATGTCCTGGGGACACCCCACCACGCGTGCCACGCGCCCCAGGCCCACCTGGGCGGGAGCGAACTGCGCAGGCGCGGGGCTGCGGGCATCAGCATCCGGGCTCTCGACCTCCACATCCGGGCTCCCTAGGCAGTCTGGCCCCAGAGGGCTATGCGGGCCGGGGTCACCGGCCGGGATTTCCGGTGCGCGCATCTGAGCTGTGAAGGCCCCACGCGCTGAAAATCCCAGGTGCCTGTTCCGTCGAAGCAAAACCTCAGGGACATGCTTAGACTTGCTATTTTTGCCAGTGGTGGGGACGCGACTGTTGAGAGACACCTAAGAGGCAGATTCGCATGGCGGCCAGAGTAAGTGGGTGGTGAGGCGGGCCTGGGGAGCGGCCGGGCGCCTGAGGGCAGGCGGGCCGAGCCCACTGCGCATGTGCCGGCTGCCGCGCCTTGGCCGCGTTGGGCTCTGATCATTGAGCGCTTGGATAAAGTGAGACGCTGCAAGAGTGAACTGAGTGGCCATGAACATACAGGTAGTAAGTGCCTGGAATGAGCAAACTCTAAACTCACACCTCTGGGAACTGCGTCCTCCGTTAGCGCTAACCTGTGTTAGGCACTGTAAGCTATGTGAAAGGGTGACAGAAAAAGAAAGAATAAAAGAGGAAAGGATGAAGGAAAGAAAGAATGAAGAGGGTTTTTTTGTTTTGTTTTGTTTTGTTTTTAAGCTGTTTAAACCTGCTGGTTTTTAGCACTACAGAATAAAGGGATCTTTGAGTTGACTTCACATAGGACAAAACTGTTATAGCACAGGAGGAAAGTACATTCTGGTAATTACAGAGGAAGTTAGGAAGACAGCTAACCACCAAAATTCTTTCCTGACATATGCTTTGCCTTGTGTATTTCAGGCTGTGGTATACGGAGGTGACATTCCCCCAACCCAAGGCCAGATGGTGCCAAGACAATCAGTAACCAAGGTGATCGGTGACACAGGGCAGCAGGTGGAGCCTGGGTTGCCACCCTGTCGATATGACTCCTGTAGCCCCAGTGTTTTGAAGAGAAGTGGTGAGTTCACTACAGTTTTCAAGTGAGCTCTGCACTCAGAACTTCAGCCATGAAGATAACAGGCATTTTCCTTCTCATTGCCTTGGCTCTGTTGACTTTATCTGGTAGGTGTCATTGTGTATTTTTCTAATTTGAATAAAAGTTTTTCGTGCTGATGCTTTGCTGAACATATTACCTTCTAAGTCTAGTTTGGGATACATCTTTTGGTCGCAGCAAGATGAGGTAAGATCAGTGGATGAGAATCATAGAAAGAGGGATGTTAACATAACACAGGGAAAATGATTCTACTAGTGAGAACTGCCCAGTGAAAGTCATTTTTCCCCCAGTGAGAGGTTGACCTTTTGTGGCAGAGATGAGACAGAATTATTTCTATCTTAAATACTCATTTAACTCTAAATATTTAAGGTCAATTTACAAATAGTAAAATCTCTAGCATCATATGAAATGTATAATAATGGCTTCTGGTTAGTCAGTATTTTTTAAGAATTATTTTTATTTTTTTATGCATATAAGAATGAGATGTAGGCCAGAGGTGGGGGGGTAGGGAATGAGAGGATTCACCCAAGACAGAGTGGAGAGCAGAACAGGCAGATTGACTGAAATACCCTGATGAGGAGAGCAGCGGGCCAGAGAGGAGAGGTCTGCTGCACCATGTGGGTCAGCTCCCTGACCAGGGATTGAACTCATACTGCCGTGGCTGTGGACAGCTTCACAGTGCTGAGATGACCCCTTGCACCACCAGGGAGGCCCCTGGTTAGTCAATATTAAAGGCAGAGTTTGATCTAAAAAAATTATTTTGGAAAAAAAAAAATTATTTTGACCTGCAGAATGTTTCCAGGGAAAATATTCTGCTTGAATAGATGGTATGTATATATCCCCAAACTGTCTTTACCATGTTACAGATAATTTTGAGGCCATAAAATTGGGATGAGCTACCTTGGTGTCATTGGAAATAGCTAACATTTTTGGCTTCACCTCAGATCTAGCAGAGACGCCTACTGAAGGCCAAATCAGCATTTTGTGAAGAAGAAAAATAATCTGTGTTGTATTTGCTAAATATTTATTGGAGCTGTGGTCCCTTTCCCTCTCTTCGTGCATATTAGTACAGATGGATGCCTGCGATGACTTCCGACTTAACCAGTTTTCAGACTCAGCTAGATCCCAAAATCTAAGGAGACACCAGTCATATTTGTTTTTGACTGTTCTAGGGAATTGTCTTCTCCAGGCCCATAGGTGCCTCACTACTTTCCACAGCATTTAGTTAAGAATACCTCCTCACCTCGATACTTCCAAGTATGTTAATATCAAAATCAAATCTCACCAGCATTTCTTGCTTTCCAGTACCATTGGATCATTTCCCTTCAATGATCACATCCGCAGTTACCATCCCATGCATGATGTGCTACTTGCTGGAGAAAACAGCATAGCACTTTTAAGTATCTGTATGTAAATTCAGGAAATATGAATTAAACCTGTGTTTCAGTCTGTGTAATGTTAGCAGTAGGAAAGAGTTCTTTGGGAACCGATGGTGAGTTACAAAAGTGTTCCATTTTTTTAGTGTTACTTACAAGGAAGACGTCAATGTAATTGTAAGTTATCTTTGTGACAGAAAACCTACTTACCTTTAGGGGTGAATGTTTCCCAGGTAATTTTATAATCTTTATTTATAAACAAATGTGAAGATGTTTTACTTCTTAGATCACTGTTGAGGACAAAGGTCTAGAAACTGGTTGTAAGAATATCAGTGAACATCCAAAAGATACTTGTTCAGTGCCTGATATATTTCAAGCATAAGTATATATATAATGCTTGTTTTCAAGGAAATGGATCAATGTTTCTGAAATTCCAGATTAAGATATTTTGGTCATAATCACAGATTTTTGTTTTAATTTTTTCAAGGTGCCAGCAGGCAGGAGTAAATGGACACCAGTGAGATGTCCTTCAGAGAGTGAAAATGGGAAGGGATGGGAGTATAAGCAGCCAGCAGAGACGTCTCAGGCTTTAGAAGGAAACAGAAAATTCTGAGTAAGAATAGGTCTGACTTCTCCCATTTAGGAGCCTATTTAACATGTCTGATTTATGTTTTCTAGGTAACACAAGAGCTGACTCCCTGAAAAGAGAGGTAAAAACAATTTTGTAATTTCTTTTCCATCAGGCTGGAATTGTTTGTTCCAACCGCAGTGCAGTCTAGCTATCACCTTTCAGTAAATCCTAAAATACAAATAAGGAGCATGATTGCTAGTGAGTTTTAGTATATTAAATGTAGGTACTAATAGCAGTTCTCTCATGTGACTTATGTTGAAGGAAAAATCCACTGACATACAGTTAATTTCTCTGATCTTATCAAGCTTGCTGTGAAAGCATTTTTTTTTTATACAGGGCCATCTGGTAGGATAGGTGTTTTTGGTAGATGCTTTCTTAACCTCATTCTAAGTAACCCTTCCTCCTTCTAGCCAGTTTGATTAGGTTGACAGAGATCTTTCCCAGTGACCAAAGTGGAGGTGAATTTATAATGACCAAAAGAAAAAAATAAGCTGAATTCTAACTCTAGAAAAATATTCTAAATCTACCTTTTCCATTTTTTCATACGTTTCAAGGGAAATTTCATAAAATTTGGAGACCAGAGAAAAAAGTGTCCCTCTTATTATATTTATCTAGTGGAGAGGCAGATGACACACTAAAAATGTATGAGTGAATAAGTTACTACACTTGTAATAAGTGTTGCATAAAAAGTGCTAGGACCTTTGGGAACCTAGCTTACTTAGATCAGAGAAGGTGCTCTTACGTACATGGGATTTATTCTGCGTCATAAAGGATAAGTGAGTGTTAGCAAAGTATTACTGATAGGGACATGTAGAGTGAGTGGTTAAGACCCGCAGTTCAAGAACTGTATTGTCTGACTTTGAATTCTACATACAGGAATTACTAACTGTGCGGCCTTGGGTGACTTGACTTCTTTGTGTCTCATTGTCTTTATAAGAAGAGTGTAACAAAATTCATGAGATAATTGTGAGCTTTCAGTAGAATAATACATAAAAAGCACTTTTATACAGTGTCTGGTCTATAACTACATTTGATAGTTACTAGTTTTTACTTCCATAAAGGAAATAAGCTGTGCAAAAAGACCAAGCACCTAGTGTCTTAGGTGACCGAGAGACAACCAGTATGACTGTGCTACAGTGTGCAGGGAAGAACATGTCCCCAAGGTGTGACTGAACTAAGAGGAGTCAGCCCTGCAGTAATTGTGAACATGAACATACTCTCTTATCTTACTTAAACACCACTATTAGATAAGTGGGGAAAATGATAATGTTCCCATTTTGCAGATGAAGTTACCTGCTGGGATTCAGGAACGCCAGATTTACCAGTGTCAGATAACTTGTAAAGAGTAGAAACAATACTTAAAACTGGGTTTGATTTTCTGACTCCAAATTTTGGGTACTTTCTCTTAGAATTCTTTCTTTTGGATTCTTTCTCTTGGAAATTGTTCTCCCAGATTTAATCATGCTCCCATCTTTAAGCAGACCAAGTCCAGGGAGGTGAAGACCATTTTAAAGATTTTGTTATAAACTTGAAAAACAAAAAATGATGGAAAATGATTGTGTTTAATTTTATTTTTAGGCTAAATGTAACGGTGGACTTAATGGATGTCCCAGGATCTATAACCCTGTTTGTGGGACTGATGGCACTACTTACTCCAATGAATGCATGTTATGCCGTGAAAATGAGTAAGTGTAAACTTGAATTTCTATTAAAATGTGTGTTTTAACAACGATAGGAAGAACACAAGGGCATGGTTCACAGATGAATGGGTGGTGGGAATTTTACAGAGACTATAACCAAGATGAAAATGCGTACATTGTACAAAAATGAAAAATGATGTAAAAAATATATAAAATAATTAAAAATTAAAAAAAGAAAATGTGTTTTAAGGTAGTTGTCTTCAAATTTTTGTGTATCTTATGCTAATAACATGAATCTTGCATGGGAGAAACAAATACCTAGTTTTTAAAAAAAACTTTGATTGTATATCCGATGTGACTGTATACAAATATTTATATTTGTGTCTTTGTGTATAGAATGATAGAAAAACAGTATTTGTTGTGTCAAGCATGGTGTAAGTCACATAATACTTACAACAAATCTATGATGTAAATTATTCTAAGTTCCTCATACACCTGAAGAAATTGAGACTTGGTTAGTTTAAATAACTTACGTAAGGTTACCCAGCAATAATTGACCAACCTGGCATCGAATCCTTACTGTTTCTCTTATGCTTTAAGGTACCACACTAAATATTTGTGAATTACAGAGGGAAATCCAACTTGTTTTGTCTTTCAGTTTGTGCACACTCAGTGTAGCCTTTGAAAATATGAGTGAAGTTCTCTAAGAGCACAAAATTAAAAACAGTATATTGTACCCCCTAAGATTTGGAAAAGTTTGGAGACTTTGTCAGGCCAGAAAGTAGAAAAGATTAGCATTTGAGTGGGGGAAAAAAAGAGAGAAGGCATTAGTAACATCACACAATATAAAATATGCTAAGGAAAGGACAATGGAATAAGGGGGGAGGTTTATAATTGTTCTCTCAATAAAAAAAAAAAATCACTCGTATGATAAAAATCCATGCTTTTACAGAAAAATAGCAGATGATCTGGATCTTAAAAAAGCTATACATGTACAATGTCTTTAAAATTAAAAAAAAAAGCAATTCTTGGTAATAATAATAATTGTTTATTAAGTCTTTCAAATGTGTACATATGAATAGGTGACCAAAAAATTATTTTCTAATACTGTTATTCATAGATATGAGAACAAGCCTCAATAATGTTCGATTTCTGATACAGCTTACACAGGTGATGGGAATCAGACTGGCATTCAAAGAAATAAATTACTGAGCACTTGACATGTGCCAAGCACTGTGCTAGTATCCTTTGCTTCCCTTGTGCTTATGACTAAGAGAAAACAGGTCATGGACACAAATAAGACAGCTTCTTGTAACTTGTGACAAATGCCATCATTTGAGGTGTGAGCAAAGTGCTATCGGAGCAAAAACAGAGAAACATCCACTCTCATTGAAATGGGTCAAGAAAGGATGTCATTTAAACAGGGCTCTCTGACATTTGGTAGCACCACAAAAAGCATTCCAGGTTAAATAAAGGTGTAAAATGATTAAAATCAAAAGAAATTCCACAAATAACCTGGAAAACTGTTATTCTGGAACTAATTTGGTATCGAAGACTTCACTTTAGACTCAAATGACTACATAAATTTCTGTTACTCCACTGTATAAATTCCCTGTAACACAAACCCTCTTCTTGAATGCTTTAAATCAGGTTAGCAAATTCTCAAAGTTTAGCAAGGATTGAAGGAACTAGGTCCTCAGGGGGAGAAATCTAATATCCTGAAGTTTTAAATCCAAAATATTAGGTGTGCTGTTTTATGATAAATTTACTTTCACATTAAAAATTTTTTTCAAATTAAAAATTTACTTTCACATTCCTTGCAAAAGGAACTTTAAACCATTTGTTAATTTTCTCATGACCTATGTTGTTGACATTAAGGTCAAACATCATATTTCCATCCAAGGGGAGGAGAAGGCAGTAGAATAGCCTTGATACTTGGGAAATTTCCAAGTGCCAAGACCAAAAGGCCCAATATTTAGAGTGGCACATTGGGAAAATATGAGCTTAAGAACTAGGACACACTATTCCCTTATCCTTTGATACTTACCAGTTCCTGCTTGCTCTTTTTAGTCTTAAAAAAAAAAAAAAAGGAAATATGGAAACATTTAAATACAAAAAGCTTCTTTTCCTGTATTTTTTCAGAAAAGAAAACAGGTCTAGAAGGAAAATGTGACTCTGATATGTAATATATTTTCTAATGTACCCTGTCCCAAGCAAAACATTGCAAAGTTTATCAGGATCTGATCCTAGTTTTGAGATAGGTAGACAAACAAGGGCTTGCATTTCCTTGATCATTACTTGTTTGGCTGATATATTCAGTAAGGACATTTTTCTACTTCTGTGTCCTCTTGGGGAATCTGTGCTGGCACATTCTTTTTTGTAGATCAGCATTCTAGTAGAACTTTGTGCAGTGGTGGAAATGGTCCATATCTGTGCTGCTCAATATGGAAGCCACTAACCTAAGTACACTATCCATTAGCATTTAAGATGTTGCTATTCCAACTGAGAAACTGAATTTTTTTTTAATTCAGATTTTTTTTAAGCTTTATTTATTTATTTATACAAGCACTGGGTACCGTCAGAAGTGCGGGAGGGTGGGAGAATTCACCAGAGCCAGAGCAGGGAGCAGAGCAGGCAGAAGGACCGAAGTACACTGCTGAGGGGAGCAGCCAGGGATTGAACCGGCACTGCAGAGGCTGCCGGCAGCTTCACAACCCAGCGCTCAACCGCTGTGCCACCGGGGAGGCCTGAGAAACTGAATTTTTAATATTAATTTAACTGATTTAAATTTAAGCAGCTATATCTGTGTCAACAACATTGGATAACAAACTTTAGAAAATAAATCCTCTGTGTAATCTGTTTAGATGTTTGGGCTTGTATATACTGACTCAGAAATAAATATTATGAGTAGTTAATAACTATGGAACAAGAAAATAGTAAAAACTCTTAAAATGAACAATTAGCATGCCCGGGTTAAAGATATTGGGAAGTCAGATGTCCTCAAGTAACAGAGTTATAGAAGAATTTTTATAAGCAGTATATTCAAGGAAAGAATGGTTAGAAAAATGAGAGCTCTGGAAATAGTTTCATGGGGAACAATTACAATATTTAGGAATATTTAGCTGAGAGAAAAGTGATTTGGGAAATGTGATGTGAGGGGGAACACTAAGGTTTTTTCTGAAAGGGAGGATACTTAGAGCAGGTGTCATCAGAGACAGAGATATGATTTCCTCTTTCCAGATTTTACTGATCTAAAATCCCTAGAGTTCTAGTGCAAAGAATCAGTCAATTAAAAAGTCCTTCTGTAGCACATGTGTCCACTAAGATGGAAACCTGGTAGCTAGGACAATGACATTAGGAGCAAAAGAAGCAACAATGGATCAGAGATAAGTGTCAGAGGTTACAATTTACATAAATGTCCCGTTAGATTTATAAACCTGTAAAGACAGACATTTTTACTTTCTGTTGTATTCCTAGTATAATAGGTCTCAATATTTAATGAAATAATGAATTAGTGAATGAGGGAGAAATGGAGGGAAAATCTCAACCATCTCTATTTTAAATAAAGCTCATCTTTTTTCATCCATAGTCACTTTTTTATCACAAAGTTTAAGTTGATTTTTTTTTTTTCAATCTGTCTTACAGGAAGCGCCAGATTCCTGTCCTCATTCAAAAATCTGGGCCTTGCTGAGAACCGAGGTTCTGAAATCCCATAAGGTCACCATGATACCTTGACTGCCTGATTATTAAAATAAACTGCATCTAAATATTCCCTCTTGTTCCTATATGCTTTTTCCTTAGAGGCATATTAGATTATATCAGGAATAGGGGATTGGGACAAACTTAAAATGACTAAGTTTTATAGAATGCAGTAGAACAATTCTGTCATTTCAGACACCATTTCTTTCATGATGCCTTTTCATTCACCATCTTCTCCACATTCTGAGCACTGTATCTCAGGAAATATGATTGCAGATAATAAATGACAGAACATAAACATACATTACCCTGAATACATGTAATCCGATAGGGGACTTGAGAACATTGTAGTTAGGAAGCTTTTAATCCAAAAACATGTTATTCGTCACCTTTCATCTTTCACAGACTGAAGTTAAACCCTTTAGGTTTTCTTGGGTTTCAATTAAGGCTCTTTTGTTTCTCAGAGAGTCTGGATACATAGATACAAGATTTTTGAAGAGCTGCCTGTCTGGGGCAGAATAGAGTTTAGTCATAAGAGTTTCTGTATTTTGAAATGTAGATTTGGGGCATGATCTCAAAAGAGCTCTCAATCAAAAACAACTACATTTTTCACAGCCATGCTTTGGAATAGCCTCTTTACATTGACCATTTATCCCAACTTCTTATCCATCTTTGCCCCCCCCACACACACACACACACAAACACAGGCAGTTTTCTATACTTTACTGAGATGAGTAGCAGTAATATAGAGCTCTTCATTTTCTTTAGTAACCAGAAGTCTAGATGAAGGACTTCATCTGGGCTTGACTTGGGGATCGCTGTCATCTGGCCTGACCTGTCTGGGCTGAGATAACCCGAGGGAAAGAAAGGCTTGATAATGACATAACTTGAGGAATTGTCTCTCCTACCACCAAACCATCCCCTAATAAATGATCTGGCAAGGAAGGAAAGGACTTTAGACCAGATAAACTGATTGTAAGAACTCTGTGTAGTTAGTTCACTTTGCTTTACAGGTGAGCCATAACTGTTAAGATTTTCCTTATCTTATGAGTAAACTTAGGAAAGTTAGGTAACTTAATGTCACCAGCAAATACAGCAACAGTGTTAGACAACACAACTGATTCCAAGTCTAACAACTTTTTCCTTTGTAACGCAATTGCCTCAGGTGCATTATTCCTTCCTTAGAAGGAATATTTCTTCCTTAGAAACTTTAGGTGTATCCTTATGATAACAGGCCTTTGTGTTTTTATGCAGGGACAGAAAATAAGGTAGAAAGGAACCTCAAGAGAAATAAGTATCTGTAATCAGTAAAAAAAAAATTAGGAAACACAACTTGAATTCTAAGCTCGTGAAGAACAAACTAGAATAGAGAGGTGGGAAGTGGCTGAAAGAGCCTGAGACGCATCAGATTCTCTGAGATTTAGTGGGGAATAGGTAACGAAGTTTAACCAAAAATAGCCGATCAAAATCTGCCCCACAGTTGCCTGACACCCTAGATTTAGATTAATTTCTTGTGATACTCATAATACAGAAATCTTGAGGTTTAAATCTGACCACTAGAGGATGCTGTAGAATGCCAAGTGCCAGCCTCACAGAGCCTGACTGCTCACCAGATACCTTGATAACAGAAGTTATGGATGCAAGATGGCTTCCATCTCCTCTAGGATTCTAGAGGACGCTTGAAGGACACCCTAATATTAAGGAGTTTGGCGTGGTAAATGTTGTCGTTTTTGGAGTCTGTGGGTTTGGAGTGCAGGGTCCTTGGGTTTACTCTGGGAAAGGTTTCACCAGAGCTCCTGTTTCAGTGATACGCGGTGAGTTTCCCAGGCGAGTTTCTCCTTGAGACAAGAGACATTAGTTATATTTAAAGAATAGGTTTATTAGGGAAGGGATAAAACAGTTAAAGATACTTACATAGACATAAGCTGCCCTGAAAGGGACAGGTTTGCTAAGAGAGGCCTGCATGGTTGCAGGTGGGTGGCCTTGACAGGTCATGGGCAGGCAGGAAGCTGCTGCCCTGCAGAGGGAGAGAGTGGGTGAATATGTTATAGAGCAACCCCGATATTAAATGGGTTCCTGGCTGTGGGTCCTCACCCGCGCGCTTTAAAGGGACTTATGAATACTCTACTACAGACACACGCAAAAGGGTTAATAAAAGGTTTATTTACAAGAGAAAAAGAAATAAGGAAAATCTACAACTCAGGGAGAAAATAGGGAAATAAAGTCTTTAATGCGTCCTACCCGATCCGACGACCTGGAAAACCCAAAGTCACTCTCAGAGCTGGCCGGACGCTGCGAGCTGGCGGAGAGCCAAAAATGGAGCACCCCCAAAGCCCACATGTCTGCCTTTTGTATCCACCTGGCTGCTTAACCCCACCCTCAGGTCCCAGCCACCTTCCCTTTGGTGGTGATGGGATTTGGAGTTCCCAGTGTCTTTGGCTTTGACCTGGGGTGGGAGTGGAGTCCACAAAGCCTTTATGGAATTTGCTTTGGGACAGCCTTTTCCCCTTAACAAATAGAGGCACCTGCATAGGCACAGGTGGATAGTGGGAGTGCTGCCCTGCGCATGTACAGAGACTGCACTGATATAGTCTGGGAGGGGCTCACTCCTTGTGAGCTGTCAGTTAGTTGCTAAATTTGAATAACTATGTAGAATTTGAAAGGGACGGAGATTCTACAATGGGCTCAATCTCCATCCATATCTTTACCTTTGGGATCTGTTGGGCTCAATCTCCATATCTTTACCCTTGGGCCTGTGCTCTAGACAGCAGTCTGAGATTATAGACAGAAGCAGTGCTTAACTCTCTACTCTCTCAACCAGGCACCAAAAATAAAGATGAGAAAGCTGACTTTGGTAAGAATTCTTACTTTTTGCCAGCTTCTACCATTTTCCCCAGGATCCCATCTGCAGGTCTGAAGTGGGTGAGGAGTCCCAGTGTGTCCTATTCTGGTACCAGAAACTTTAGATGAGGAAAAGTCATTTTCCCTCTACTCTTTAGGTCATAGCTGGGACCCTCTTTTCTGTGGGGCATCGTGTATTGATAAGTTTATTTCTGTTGAAAGTCTTCCGTGGTGTGGTGACCACTATAATTCAAGATAACGTCTGACAAAGTTAACCTGTTTGTTCAACCTTAAAACAAGATTTTATTTACCTGAGGCCTCCTATTGGATCCTTTCCAACTTAAGTCACACCCAGTCTGGTTTCTAAGCCAAACCCAGTCCTACTCTGGCCAGTTTCCAGACCATCCAGAAAACAATAAGCTCTAGTGTGAACATTCATAATGCAAAAGCTGCAGAGTCAGGATCCAAGAGGAACTTAGCTCCAGAGGCAGCAAGAAAGCAGTGAGCTCAAGGGGCTTAACAGATACTTACATGTAGTTGCTCATTGTTCCTGGGGGACCTTTAGGGGAATTTCCTCCGGTCCCTCTTCTGACACCAGAATGATGACAAGATAAACTGAGGCATATTTTAAAATGTAAGAGTTTATTTGAGCAAAAATCACTGGAATAGAGCAGCATCTGTTATAGGGCAGCCCCGATATTGAATGGGTTGCCTGGCTGTGGGTCCTCACCCGCACGCTTACAAGGGACTTATGAATACTCCACTACAGGCACACACAAAAGGTTTATTTACCAGGGAAAAGGAAATAAGGAAAATGTACAACTCAGGGAGAAAATAGGGAAATAAAGTCTTTAACGTGTCCTACCCGATCCGCCGACCTGGAAACCCAAAGGCACTCTCAGAGCTGGCCGGATGCTGTGACCTGGGGGAGAGCCAAAATGAGGGATCCCCTCCAAAGCCCACGTGTCTGGCTTTATACCAACCAGGCTGCTTAACCACACCTTCAGGTCCCAGCCACCTTCCCTTTGGTGGTGATGGGATTTGGAGTTCCCAGTGTCTTTGGCTTTGGCCTGGGGTGGGGGTGAAGTCCACAAAGCCTGTATGTAATTAGCTTTAGGACATCCTTTTCCCCCTAACACATCCAGTCTAGCTGATAGAAAGGGGCTCTGAAGAATCTATAGAAAATGAAAGACTTTGAGAGGCAGAAGAGTGTGGGAAAAAGGAAATTATACTACACAAAAAACATGTTTGTTATTGCAAGGTTACTTTCCTCTGGCAGATGGCAGGGACTTCATCAGCTGCATTATGACTAGTAGCCAGGCAACCCGTTTTACTTTATATCGGGGTTGCCCTATAACAACTCCATTTTAGATCTCTTGTCTTGTTAAAACAGAACTATCATAAAGCATGTGGTTGACTATGTTCATCTGAGGTGATTACCTTTGAAAGGAGAGATTTAGTAACTGAAATCTGTTTAGAGGACAAAGACTACCTGCTGCAGACCAGCTCTGGTGAACTGGATAGAGGAGAGGAAACTGAAAGAACCTGGTAATAAAGAAATGACAGACACAAGATAAGAGTTTAAGGGAATGGAGGACTTTGCTTTCCACAATGGACAATACCTGGAGAGACTGGTTTGCTTTCCAATGGGAACCCTGAGAAAAATTTTCATCTGAGACTGTACCCCAGCATCCATACATTTGATCTTCAATACCATGGAAATGATGGCAAAAAGTGAAGCTAATTCCATACAGGCTTTGTGGATGCCACCCCCACTCCATCAGGACATCAGGAACTACAAATCCCAGGATCCCCAAAGGGAAGTGGCAAGGACCTAAGGGTGGAGTTAAGCAACCATTTTCTCTGTTTGTAAATAGAAACCAGCCATGTTAGTGGGGTTGGGCACACTTGGCTTGTGCTCTTGGCCAGGGTCTCCGGGTCATTTGAGATTCCATGTGGGCAGAACAGGTAGGACACATTTAAAAATTTATCTCCCTTTTTTCTCCTTGAGGGGTACATTTCCTCATTCCCCTTTCCTTGTAAATAAACCTTTCGTTAACCTTTAAAAAATAAATAAATAAACAAACAAACAAAAAGAGAAGTAGGACCTGGGCCTCCCTGGTGGTGCAAGGTGTTAAGATGCAGCTTGTGAAGCTGCCTGCAGCGAGTACATAAGTTTGATCCCTGGCTAGGGAGCTACCCACATGGCACAACAGACCTCTCCTGA